GACATTGAACCGTTTAAAACCCACAATATTTATTGTCATATGTCTAGAATTTTACCTGAAATTGTATTGAATGTACTAGTGATGGATTCACTTGTTCCCATTGCGTTGCGTGCATAGACAGTTACGTCATACTCCGTTGATATATCGAGATTTTCAACTGTTAATGATGAAATTGTATAGTTCAGGGTGATATTTGTGTGGAATTCACCGTTGTTTTCCTGACAAGTCAATGTGAATGTTTGAATATTTCCGTTGTCCTCCCCGGGGGTCCACGATACGACGGCACTGCTTTTCGTGATTTGATCAATCACAAGGCCTGTAGGGTGATCTGGCTTGTCTGGAAAGGATTATTTTAAATTTACAAATATAACAATCATTTCTTAAAACAAGTTTGTGACATGCTGCTTTTTTGTCTTTTTATATCTTGCATGATATTATGACATTATGTGCGTCTTCTATGTTTTATTTTGATATAACTATGACACAATTTACATCAATATCAACATACACATATAACCACTAAATCGACTAATAATGTGCCCACACATTATGTTCCTTTCGTTGCAAGATGTCAATTGCCCTCAATATTTATACCGGGATTATAGTTTACATATTAGCTCTAGAAAACATGTATTTTTACAAAACCTAAAACTAAATGCATCATTGTATAGTGCTGATCATTCAAACGCACACATCTGTACCTGTTAGAACAATACTGAATATCACTAACAAAATGGAGATGACATAATCTAATAAGGTAATTTAATAACGCGGTCTTAATTTTGCTGAAAGTTAAACCCTGACCTTTTAGTATCTGGAACGTTCTACCGTGGCCTACTTGTAATAATGATGGAAATCTGATGGTAATGTTGCACACTAAACGACTTTTTTTTTTTTAAAAACAAAACATTTCTCACATGAAATACAGGGAGTAGTCATATCCACATTGCTTTTTGGTGATGAAAGACCGTCCAGATATGACGTATTTTTGTTGCATAGGACCGTGTTAAAGTTATGGTATCCCGCATTTACAAACTGTATTCATATTCATTGGTTTTTTCACTACAACTTGAAAATTAAAATGGTATACTCACCTGATATAATTATTTCGAAGTCGTAATAGTAAGTATACTCATTCCAAACATACAGCTGATAGCGGCCCTGGTGTCTAGTCTCAAACGTGCTGAAGTGTAGCTGCACGATGTAACCGTCAATCGAAACGTTCTTGTTAAAGAATAGCACCGTCACTGGAACGGACGAGACCGTGACAGAAAGTTCACCCTTTGGAGGTAAAGCAGAGCTTCCTCGTAAGATGGAAGTGTTCAAAGCCTCAGGGAAACTGATGTAAGTAATGTTGATGTCAAGAGAGGTGCCTTTGTCTGTTACATATGTATTCTGTACACTGATTGCTCGTGGTCTGCCTAAAAGTCAAAGAATAGTAAGATCACAACGCGCAGCTGATCATCACAACATATTTTATAACTTAGGCTTATTTTGACTGTTTGGCGGACAGTGATTAAACTATCTGTCATTTTTTATTACTGTGACCTATATTGGAATGAAGCTTAACATGTGTATCAACGAGCATCATATTTTAAGATTGAGAGAAATGTTCTTTGTATTATTTGCGTAGAGTCTATCATTTTATTTTAATAGACAACATATCATCTTTAGAATGCATCGTGTTATTTTACTAGGCAACGTATTATTTTTGAAATACACCGTATTATTTTGGTAGACTAACTATTATCTCTATTTGTACCAACTCTGGTTTGGTTTGTTTGTCTTTTACGTCCTATTAACAGCTATGGTCATTTCAGGACGTGCCTGGTTTTGTTGGTTGAGGACACCCGGGGTTCCCAAAGAAAAAAACACAGACCTACGGCCAGTACCTTGCGACTGCTCCAAGCAGATTCCACGTAGGTCACGAACCCGCAACCCAGTGGTGAAGGGCTAGTGTTAGCAGAATAGCAGACGCCTTGATCACTTGTGTACCGCGGCCCCTACCAATTCTGAATCAGTTCTGATTTAGTCACACGCGCCGTCAGTACATAATTGGAACTATTTAAGTTGTTACAACTTAAGGTGATTCTAGAATGTGAAACAATAGCATGAAGGTATTGATCTATTTATGTATACATTGTTATAGGGTGGGGATTTGAACAGTTTTAAAGTAATTGCTCGGGAATAAAGTCATTAGTGGTGGGCCAATACCCAAGGGTCAATATTAAAATCATGACTGGGCTCGTCTTCTGATGCCCAGCAATGGTATACATGGTTATGGGGCTGGGATATCAATAGTTTCGAAGCAATTGCTCGGGAATAAAGCCCCTAGGGGTCGGGCAAGACACAAGAGTCAATTCTTATTAAATGATTATGTGTGTATCTTAATACCTAGCAATTATATATGTACTTATTTGGTGGGGAAATGAAATGAAGTACCTAGGGGTGGGGCGAGGCCCACGAGTCAATACTTTTATCATTATTGTGTTTGTCGCTTGATGCTGAGCAATTGTTTACATGGTTATAAGGCGGGGATCTCGAAAATTGCATACAGAAGGAGAAATACATTCAATATTTTCTCATTTGTTCTCCCTAATGGCCCCTCCCCACTGCTCTCAGAGAAAACACGAACTTCGTGTTTACAAACTTGAATTCCTCTTGACCTTCGGGTATGTGATCTTACAAAATGATTTAACAAAGATTCAATTATCTGACAATAATTGACACAGTTTTGCTATATTTCAAGGGACGACAGAGGTACGGCTCTTCAAATAATAACTGATCAAGAAGTTTATAATCTAGTTATGCTGTAAAGATCACGACAACTTTGGATATATTCCTGTATAATAACAAAACTGATGAAACGACCAATTGCGAACAGACTACGTTATCTAAAATATGAGTTCATAGTCATAAAAAGAATGCTGTTCGGAAAAATACGAGGCGGCTTTTCGTGTCAACAACATGCTGTATTGACTTTGTTATTATATCAATCTGTTATATTTTCCTATCATAACTATGTTCGATTGTAATGTAGTTTAAGTTCAACATTGTAAAATACATTTGACTTAGCGTTCATATCTAATAGAAAACAAAGTAAGTTGTCAAAAACCAGAAAACCTTTTTAGAACAAAACATAATAGTGTTACCTCTCACATACAGGAAGTCTTGTCGTGTCTGTGCAATCTGACCATCTCTACCCCTATATCCGTTGTTTACCTCACAGACATATGTCCCCATAACCTCGTAGGTCACTCTAGGGATGGTCAGTGTACTAACTGACCCTGAACTCGTCACCTGGTCAAACGTGTCTCTAATCACTGTAGATCCTAACATGTGTTTCCACCTGTATGTGTACTGGGGAGGTACACCATTAGCTGTACAAACCAGACGAACGTTTGTTGCGTTTTCTGTTGTGTTGGTGATTGTAAGGTTTACATCAGGTCCGTCTAAAAAAATATCTGGTCTGTTACAGTAGGACACAATCTTTAATCTAAACATATTATCAGGGTAGCACTGGAATGCTTTAGGATAGATTCACATATTATTTTTGTTTATATGATATACCCCGAGACCCGTTGATGCGACTTCATAGGGCAGACAGATACAGGTTGTCTTTTGGATAACGCGATTAACATCGCTGCCATGTGCAGTAACAGCAATTCTGTGTCCAATATACTTTGACTTGTGACTATCATGGGCGTACTGAATCCTCTGTGATATGGTTATTCATTTATAAAATATATGTTAATGCACATCTAGTTTTCAATTGCTTAATGAACCAGGAAAAAAAATACCGAAATGAACAGCGATAACAGTAAAACATATATCATGTCTTTGTGTATCAAATGCAAAGGGTAATGCTTGTTTTTAACCTTTATTTGTATCAGAAAAAAATCCTGATACAAACGAGAGATGAAACTCAAATAAAATCAGCATAAATGATCTCGCAGAAAGGTTCAGCACCATTTTCATCGTAGCATCATTATTTTTACTCACATTGGACGACAAGCATAAACCGCTCCGTAGATTTTAGAATCGCTGTAGACCCTGCCGTTGCAGCACATACATAGCTGGCCGCGTCTGTTCTATCTATCCTGGGGATGCTGAGTATCCCGTTTGACTGCTTAAAAGTTGTTCCACGATACCAGGCCACACTAGGAGAAGGGTTACTTTCTGCTTTACAAATCCTGCGAAAGTCCACACTCTCGTTGATGTAGGCAGTAGAACTGTCTAGAGTAATGATGGGCTTGTCTATAATGAAAATAAAAATAAACACTGAGGTTGTGGATCAAGAAGCAAACTTTTAATATGGTGAACTCTGCAAATTATACTTATTCCTCATCATCAGATAGATCACAGAATCAATGGACGTTTGTTTTTACTTTTGGCAAAAACTTTACAGACAATTTTACATATCGCTACGACTACTTGCAACCTTGAGTTCCTACCAATTCATTATATTTAAATATCCACCTTCTACAGCATTGCGTATAAATTAGCGAAAACGAAATGAGTTTCGGCTGATTGATACAAATATGGTTCCGTTAGCGGTGAAGCGAGATCAAATTCCGATTTGTTTTGTTTTTCTATTGTTTCACGACCCACCGACAATGCGAGTGATTTAGGGCCAAACAACACGTTTAAATAGGCATTCACAAAAAATAATACATTAAACTAGTAATAAAAGGATTTAAAAGGTGTAAAAAGTTATAGTTCGAATTACAACCATGGCTTAGTTGCTTCAATATCTAAATATATGGAACATATTGGCGATCAATTTTGTCATGAAATACATCAAAGAGATGCTGGAAAATGTCTTACTCCATGGATGCACATTCAAATTTCTTTGACGACAAACTGAACAATCGCAGCTTTTTTTTTAAATTTCGACCGCGTCACTACCGGAGCAGTGTTCGAAGGGCTACTCACATTCCTCAATTTTGAAAGCATGCTCAACCGCTGAAATTTACCGAGAGACTCTCGTCGTCTTTCAGTTTTTACAAATTATTCCTAGAATTTTAAAGAAATATATACCGGGAAATCATTTCCACCTACTAGCGAACCAGGAAAAATGCACAAGGTAGCTGTTCTGATGCTACGGAGGTTTTAACATCAGCTATTTCGTCAATGATGTTTCCTCTACGACCTTAAATTTAAAGCGTGACATAATAGCGTTAAATTATAACCGAAATTTTTGTCAGTGTAAATAAACTTGCGTGACATCAGCTCGGCAATTATCTATGTAAAATGGTCTCCTCGACAATATAACCAGATCAACGTCGCAATCGTACTCTTTAGCTCGATCATCGTGCAGATGTGTCGTTAAATTGCGTATTGTAAGGCGGATAAAAGATCGGGCAGATCTAAAGTAGCGCTTACCTGAAATCACCCTGGCATTAAACGATAACAAATATAGTTACCAACTTAAATATTAATCTCGAAAAATATGATTTTTGAAAAAACAATAAGGGAGCTTTACTGCCATCTGTTTAGATTATGTCGGTATCTCTTTTAATACTAATACGAAAAACGTAGCTCGTGACTGGTGTGCAGATATGATTTTGAATTTTTTTCGTATTGTTTTACGGCCGATCGACAATGCCAGTCATTTAGGGCCAAACAACACTATAAAAGTAGACATTCGTGAAACCGAATACGTCAAAATCGAAATAAGAAAAGGTTGAATAAGTTTACAAATGTAAAACAAAGGCATGAACAGTGAACAAATGTATTCATATATAGAATCAACCAACATATTTTACATGTTATTTATGCATGTATATAGGTGTGTATGTATATGTGCACGCATGCATGTATGTATCTATGTGCATGCATGTATGTATGTACGGTGTCTCCTATCATCATTGGTACTGATCTAATTCTTATGTTCCTAAAGCATGTATGTAAATATTCATAGTTCATTATATTGCTATTGTTTGATATGTACCTCCTGGGAGAGGGCCTGTTGCTCAATTCCCATTAAATCTGATTGATTTCATAAAATATTTTGAAATGAAAAAACCCAAATGTTTTGTTATATACAGTATATCAGATTTTATTATAAAGATAAATTGAGTATATAATCACATATTGATTGAACAGAAACGGTTCTAAATACACTTGTGATAGACGATGCATGATAGAATCTCTCACGCATTCGTTTATAAATTGTTTGACTGTAAATCGCTAATCACACGAATGCCAATAAGGTTGGTCTTGTTTATGTAAAATGTAACTATGAATGACGCAGGTATGGCCTATGCGCAGTCGCGAGAGGATAACTTCAACTTTGCGGTCTGCTCTAATTGTTGAACTTGAACCTACGTTAGGTTGAATTTCAAATTTATTTTTCCAGACCATGTATTTTGCAAATTCTTTTTAATACTATTCGCGATTGAAGGCCTAAAAATACCAATAGGGCAGTTAAATATCTTTTGTGTCTAGGTTAAGAGCTGCTTTAGCAGCCTAATCTACTTATTCATTTCCAACATGGACGGGTAGCCACATGCTTATCAGGTTGATGCCGCCTTTGCTATCCATGTCTGACATCGCTTCATATCATACCAAGCGCTTACAACATTTGTTGTACTAGTTATGTATACTTCGTGACTGTACTCTTCAGTTAATGTTGAATTGTTCTCTCTGTGTTTGAACGTTTTTGTTTAGGGTCATTAGCATTGCCTTTATGTTTTATTTGCATTTTTATTTTTACATTTCAGCAGTTTAGAGGCGAGGCAGCGGTTATTTATACCCTTTGCTTTACAAAGGAAACAGCCGTTTTCAAAAGTTTTCACTTACTAACCTATTAATCAATGGCAGAAAGTGCCTCCACAGTCCCTTATTAGACGACTCTGAAGCAGTTACAATTGTACCTGTCACGTATTATAACTTACTGTCTTCGACTGTACTTTAAGCAAGTTATTTATTCCGACCCCCCCTCCCCCCCGATAATTCGATGAATTGGTCATTTTGTCCGCACTGTCAACTCTCAGTTACTTCTATATGTATTTTCGAAACATTTGGATAAATATTTAAGAGATTTTTGTTATCGGTCTAATTTAAAATAGAACCATACAAAGATAAATAGTACTGAATCCCTACAGAAGACGAAGATATCAGATTGAATCCCTAGAAACAATCAGAACCTGTTTTGTGATTTCCATGATTGACTAACGCGGGAGTTATGACTTTTCCAAAACGGTATGTCATCAGCTCAACTTAGTCGTTCGGACCCAGTGAGCTAAGAAACGAATTTGCGAAACTTCAAAATTTATGGATTATGTCAATTTCACGCAGATTTCGAAAATCAAATTTGCATGGAATAATGCTTTCATATCAGGCACATCGTTATATCCGTCTTTAGTCTGTCTGTAATCGGCACACTCGACATGTGTGTCCTATGCAAAGTCGTAAAGGACAACCTTTTCTCTAAGGTTCAAACAGACTTAGTAGATAAAAAAACAATCTTCAATAATATATATATTTTTCTAATTAGCATTTCATATTCAATGACCAGAATTTGTCACTCTGTCAAATTTTTCACTTGCCATATCGGCACAACTTTGTTCATTAAAGTCTGTATTGAGAAAGGCCAACTACAGAACATGTATTCAAATAGTTTGTAGTGTCCGTATAGCCGACCGGACTATTACTCAATATACATTTTATATATTTACAAACCCTTTTGAGTTCAATTTGAAAACTTTCATCTTAAAATGTATTTTTAAATAATTTTATAAAATTTCTCATGTACTTACAGAGGATATTAAACTGAACAGACTTCCTACCAAACTGTCCGTTAGGACTAGCCTGGTGTCCGGCTAAACACACACACTGTTGTTGGTGAAAGGTTCTGTCCACATTTAATATCAGTCTGGAGGCTGCTGTTGTCTCATTGGTCAGATTCTGTCCTTCCACTGTTGACCTTTTACACTGCCATCTCAGTGTTGCTAGAGGGTTACCACCCTCTACCCGACATTCGAGTGTTACTGTTATACCCGTCTGAACGTTGTATGTACCGGATGGCGACATCACTACACTTCCTGTAGGTGGATCTGCAAAGATAGTAAAAACAAAGGTGGCATGTTAAAATTTATATCAGTCAACTAGTTTATCAACACTGTCTATATTGACCATACTTATTTAGAAACACATCAGCCTAGATCCACATGTTTCCTGCCGGCGGATCTAAACAAAATGTTTTCATAACACCTGTTTTTTCTTTTATGTCAAAAGGCCAGTTAATCAACACTAGATATAGATTTATTGAAGCAACATAATTATCATAATTATATCCTTTTAGGAAATATTTTTAATCGATGGAAGAATACTATAATGTATCGTTGTCACGTACGCACGTATATATTAGATATTTTGTAAATATTTTCCTGATGGTATTTCTAAGGTAAGTATCTTTAAAAGTATAGGACGGAAGTACGTCTTGCGCAGCGGTATTTTTGGGAGGCACGGGAGAGACCCTGAACTATACGGGTGGACATGGCATTGTCCATTACCTGAATTGTTATATTGTTGTTCTTATATTTGTGAACCAGGCACAGGATACAGTCTGTGGTAAGTTTACAGTTTCTATATTTCTATTCTGTATTTAGTTTTGGTAGTATTTGTTTGTACCAATACAGTTATCAGGTCAAGACATCTAACTATTGGTGTGGTCCTAGCATGCGTGACTATGGTGATTGATATTTATGCAGATGTAATATCTTACATTTACGAATGTTTTGATGTATAAATACACAAAATGTATGCATTACTAGTGTATTAAAGAGAGGTATAAACGTAATTAATTGATGTTAAATGTGTTTTATTTGCTTATACCTTGTATTTGTTCGATACAATAATATATGGAAGCCATGATGCATGCAGACATAGATTGGTGTACTGCGTATGCAGTCGGGTTGTAAAAGTATGGAAACCTTACGTGCCATATTGTAACACTTCTAGATTTCGTTATTATTTGTACATTTTGGATCCGCACACTATCTCTAGATACTTTATGCCATATTAATTCAAATATATATTTTTCTCTAATTACAGTTATGAAATAATTGGTGTTAATTAGTATAATTTCTGGACTTATGTTAGGTGAGAAAGGAACTGGGAGTGATGAGTTTAACTATTTTATTTAATTACTCATTGTAGCTTCACATGAAGGCAATCACCGACTCATCAACCAGTCTGGACCAGGCGTGGTGTCAACACATGTAAACCATTACCTACCAAACATCTCGTTAAGAAATACAGCAGTTTTAGTTATCACACAGGCTAGTGTCTTGGAAGTCGACGATGTGTAGCCGCCGGACGTACTTGGAGAGGACATCTGTACCTCATTCGTAATCAGAGGTGTAGTGTTATGGACACTACGGTACTACTGTACCTCATTCTTTGCTGGGTATAGCAAAGAGTACTTCATGTAGTGTTTTGCCTGAGGTGGATAGCTTGTGTAGCTTTTGTGTAACTCCGGGTTGAGCTGTGTCACACTGTTAGTGACCTATTGCGAAACTTTGTCCGTATTTCGTAGAGGCTAGCGTCGTTGATGTGGGCTACAGACTTTTGTATTATAATTTATAGATTAGGAGTGAGTGTGCCCCATATATATTTAGATATGAATATTAATGTGAATACATATTTGAAATTGTAATCATTTCGTTGGTGTTATTTTCCCCGAATCATAAACCGAAGCGTGTCCTAGGTGACAAATGTCCATGGTTATAATTCCTATCAACTCCAAAATGCCATTATTTCGTATAAAGCTTCTTAAAGAAAACAGGAAAAGATCATCCTTAAAATTTATTCTACAGAACTGTTTTTCGTTATATTTTTAAAGGGTTTAACGTCCAATCAACAGTTAATATCATCAAAGAACGTACTTCCATCTGTGTAATGAATGCGTGCATGTGTGTATGTATGCTAGATGGTATGTCGATGTTATTGCCTCCTTGCGCTTTGATTTGTCTTGTTAACCGACTTCTTAAAGAATGTAGGGTTAAAGTTTTCCTTTGGAAAAAAATATATGAATCAGAAATCCATCAGCAGAGTATACATGTATTAAGGAAAATTAACGAAAGAAGCACGTGAACTCCCATTTATACAATTCGGTAATTGATGCAAACAAAAATCAACAACACTGCACCATACACATGTAAATCATTAGTAATCCTAGGATCCAAAACAGCGTGTAGATACGTCGTTCCTTCCTAATTGTATATTAAAGTATATTTTTTGCCAACTATTATAAGGACTCCACAAATTGAGATGTTTGGCTGGTGAGGGAGTTGAGCTTTACACCACATTTCTTTTTCATGTAAGATGCAGTCAACATGCGATATATTTGATCATATCACCATATTGAATATATTTTAATTTCAACATTTGATGTGTTGATTTTTCTTCGGAAAAGTACAGAAGATTAAGGGAATAAGAACAAACAAGAGGCCCAGATGAACTGTATTGCTTACCTGAAATAATAAAGCAACTACGGGAAAATCTTTACTTAACTTCCCCTATTGGGCCCCGTCCCTTTGCCTCGAGAGGGGAAAAACTCTCCAATTTTACAAAATTTAGCCCCACTTATCAAAAGATGCTCGAAACGAAATTCGTTAAAGTCCCTCAAATTGTACAGACGTGTATTTTTACTCCCATTCCCCCTATTTGCCCTGTCCCTTTGCCCACAGAGGGGATGGGCACGCACCCTTTATTTATAGAACAGTTGAGTCCCCTTTGCCTTAGGATGCTCTAGGCCAAATTAAGTAAAGTTCCACCGGGTTGTTCGGTACTAGTATCGTTAAAAAAGAAAAGATGACGGACGGACAGACGTCACACGGCGCGCCACAAGCTGACCGGTCCTTTGGACTAGGCTAGCTAAAAATGTTCGTCGTGTTCATTATATTAAGAAATATTTCTTACTCGGTTATTGGTATCAATGACAACCCTATATTACATAATATGAATGCTGATCTATTTGAACAACGTACGTGGAAATATCTATAGTGTCTTCAAAATTATCTGTGATAACCTGTATAAGTCCGGCTTTCATGTATGCAGGGACATAATTATTGAAATACACATTTTATATTTAAATAAAAGTGATAGCAAACCTCCGTGTAAAGAAAAGAAACCCCAGCACATTGAGACGTCTATTGAATTACCTTGTGACAACCTAACTGTAAATAATACTTACAATACACTATGATTGAATTATATTTGTTCAGCCTCTGTGCGAACTCTTTATGCGTTGCAGTGCATGTACATCGCATGCCGTTGTATGATCTGTTAATAGAGGTGATTTCTAACTTCCATACAGCGTCTGTTGGTATGCTGATGTTATAGGATGCCACATTCGGCTGGTTCACACAGGACCAGGTAAGGGTGGCCAAAGGATTACCACCCTGCATTTTGCAATACATATTTAATGTTTGTCCCTCGTACACTGGCTCGCTCTGTATAATGAATGTATCCACGTCAGGAGCATCTAAAACAATATACAGGTAAGGCTGTGTAAGAAGTTCCCTACCCGTAACGCAATATGGTAACACCCTTAACCGATATAGCATCAACGTATATAGATTAAACTGAGATAACTTTGACTATTCTTTATTATATCATGTGACATAACGACACACAAGATAAGGTATATTCACGTCAATGGAATAATCTAAACATTTCAGTTTTAACAAAATCTAATAGTAGTCAAATATTGTTTATCATTTAACACCACACTATATGAAAATAAAATAGACGCAGTTCGACACTGTAAAAAACAATTTTCATAACCAGAACATTTCAGCAACACATTTTTCGTATCAAATGTGATATACTCAATCGTCTTGATTCGTTAATATTTCTGGGTGCGGCTATGAAATGGTTTAAAGAAAATGCGTTTATTAATAAGGAGATAGGTGAGAAAACACACATAAACAATGAGGCAAAAGACGTTCAAACTGTAGATTTCATTGAGAAAAGTTAAACTTTTGTTTGTTTGGGATTTAACGTCCTCGCAACAGCCAGGGTCATATGAGGACAAAACACTCCATGAAACAGAAAGTAGATAGAGATGACTGATTACAGAAGTAGCAAAAACAGGAAACAAATAAGATCCCAAGTGTTAATTGTTAAGTTTTTGTAGTAATAGTGCGGTGGATATGACTTAATTTACTGTCTAAAATATTAACGTAACAGATATATTGTAATATAACACAGAAATATCTCTTCATCAACGGATTCAAGATTTCTTGATGAGTGGTTGCTCCCTTTGCAGCCATTAAACCTTTTGATTTAATCATGTGCATGTAAACTGTGACTGCCAATAATTAAATAGGTAATTGCTAAACCGCCCGGTGTTTTTACTTTTAACGGAAGGGAGTTGTATTCGCTAACATGACAAAACCGAACTGAATGAAAACATGTCTACGTGCTCTTATACAACATCTAACTCAGAACCAAAGTTATCTTGTAAACATTTTACCAATTAAAATTGATATGTGGACATGTCAGGTGACATTGGGTGTTACGAAAGCAATCTGTCGGCAGTTTTTTTTACATCATGGACAGAACATTTATTCCAATAAATTGTTGTGTCTGTATAGCCTACCGGAATAATACACAAAATACAGATTATTCCAATAATCCTTTTATAGATTTTGATGTTGGTAGGAAGTTAAACCCTTTTCCATCAATCAGTCTAGTAGGGATAGAAAACAACTGGTAAAATCAGTTAAGCAAGATTTGAAAATTATTATGTAAACAAACATGTTTTCAAAAGTGATTTTATAAAATTCCGTCAGTACTTTCTTAGGATATCTACATCTAACTCAGAACCAAAGTTATCCGGTAAACATTTAACCTATTGTAGCTGTAATGTATGTGGACATGTCAGGTTATATTGGGTATTACGTAAGCAATTTGTCGGCAGTTTTCTGAACATCATCGACAGAACATTTATTCCAATAAATTGTTGTGTCTGTATAGCCTACCGGAACAATACACAAAACACAGATTATTCCAACAATTCGTTTGAAACAAGTGCACCTGTAAACGGAAGAAAAAAAGACAAATTTGAAAATCATTATCTAAAAAAGTATTTTTTCAAATGATTATAAAAAAGTCTCATTTACTTACAGAGGACATTAAATTGAACAGACATCGTGCCAACCCATCCATTAGGACTAGCCTGTTGTCTGGCTGTACACAAACAATTTTGCTGGTGGTAGGTTTTGTCCACTTTTAATTCCAGTCTGGAGTCTGATGTTGTGAGATAGCTCAGATTCTGCCCGACAAAGGTTGACCCTTTGCACTGCCATGTCAGTGTTGCCAGAGGGTTTCCACCCTCTACACTACAATTGAGCATTACTGTTGTGTCTGCCTGTACGCTGTAGGTACCGAATGGCCACATCACTACATTTCCTGTAGGTGGATCTGCAAAAAAAGTAAAAGAAAACGTGGCATTTCTGTTAAAATGTATGTTGGTTGACCAGAACAATCAAAACTGTATATATTTACCAAACATATTAAAAAAACACATAAGCCTAGATACTTTTAGGAAATATCCTTCATCAGTTGAGGAATATTATTTGGTACATGTTAGAGATTAATATTCCCAATTATTTTGTTGTATTTCGTAAAAGTCTTCTTTATTTTTTGGACAAAACTATAANTAATATTCCCAATTATTTTGTTGTATTTCGTAAAAGTCTTCTTTATATTTTGGACAAAACTATAAAGACGGAAACGGACGTCTGTAAGTATAAAGCTTTACATATATTGTTATGAATATGTTCTGTAGAAACCGTTTAGATCGGTACACAGCGAAAATGGTAGGGTATTATAATAAAAAGAATGTGCACAGTTCAAATTTAATGGTTTGATCAAACACGCAGATATTCGAAAATCGTTGACAAAATTGTGTAGAACAATGTTTTCATATCGGGCGCATGATGAACTTGGTCTCGGTTCTGTCTATAATCAGCACATTCGACCAATATGTTAGGCACACTCATGATGGTCGCGTGAATCTAAAAAACTTCTTGCCAAAGCATGTACAAGTAAACCATGTACAAGTATGTCCTTTACGAAGCTTGAAAGAGCGATATGTTTTCTGAGGTTTATACTTAGAAGGTAATGCTCAACATAAATAATAAATCTGTAATTAGCATTCATAATTAATGACCAGACTTTGTCAGTATAGAAAGATTTTACTTAATCTATTGGTAAAACTTTGTTCAATTTAAGTCAAAACTATATTGTTGGGGTGTTGAGAA